CCCTTTCTATATAGTCTTCCTGAAATTCTGTTTAAGTATTTTCTAGTTCATTATGTAACAGAATGTTAGCATCTCTCCAAATCTTGAAACTTGAATTTTGAGACTGCATTGAATTATGCTTTCAGTGTTAAAGTAAAAGGTTTCAGTTACCCTTCTAGTGAAGTCTATTGTGGAATACCATTTCCCATGGAACTGAGGCCATTTCCACAACTTTGCACAAAACTCCAGTCTTGTTCTTCCCTTGAATCATGACAAATACGTCTCACACAGTGCCGTAATACTTGTGGATTCTTTTGTAATCTTTGTAATCTTAATAAGGGCATTATGAAAAGATGACTCCATGCTTTTTAAATATTTCAAACACATTGGGATGTAACAATGACCGTCAGCCGTAGGGATGGTTGTTTCGTTTTAAGGAATAAGCGTGTGGGGGAAGCTGATGAACTGTACTACTGAATGTGGAACGCTCCAATAGGCAGGCAGGGTTATGTGTTGAAGCATAATCCTCATGCTTAAACTGAATGACGTTGTAGACATTGCACCTAGGAACTGAATTCTGCCAAACTGCCATTTTCGTTGAGAAAAGAAAGACTTGGGGGTAGTCGTGAGGCAATAGAACCTTAAAACTACTTTCAAATAGTATTCTGGGGACTTGTCGGTGACCAGTGCAGAACCGTGTGCCAAGTTCTAGGTGAACTAGGTTTGCCTCTTTCATAACGATGTGAACACAGTGGTGTTGTTCATTAAAGTCCAGGTGGATGGGAGCGGGACTGATTACTGTGTCTTGCCCTTTGCCCCCCCCTTTTTTTCAGAACCAAATAACAGAAATGTGTATATGTGTACTGTATCTGCCTTCCCAGCACATTTTTTATGACACTGTATTCCACTGCCTGCCTTTTTAACCTTCTGTCCCTAGGGTTCGTCCTGTAACTTTAGCATTGGTGGTTAAGTGATGCTAGGGCTGACCGCGCATAAGAAGTCACAGAGGAGCGGAAGGGCAAGAATTCAGAGTATTTGTTCATGCAATGTGGCCACCTCTCTTGCATAGCCGCATAGGATCCTGTTTGTAATGCTATCAGATTCTGTCGTTTTGTTCCCCTGTCCCCTACCCCACACCCCCACAACTGGAGCTATGGAACTTTATTGGATTCAGTCTTGTCTTTTGTCTAGAAAGAATTTTATCTTGTTGACGCATGAGCTGTTTAAAATTTATTCTATTAAATGTTGGTTAATAGTTGTGCAGTTTTTCTTTTCAGAAGAAAAGGCAATTCCAATGTTGCCTTTGTTCTGTCACCTTCCAACCCCTCGGCACTTCTAGTCAGATACAGACTCATCTGTGTATGCAACATCCTTTGTAATTTAAAATAAAAAAAAAAGATGAAAAGGTTTTGAATTGTTGGCCTCATGTTTTCGCCCTTCCTGTCTCTGGCTTTTTTGAGGCTTACCAAGGTAACGGTGTCCTCTTCAGGGTGAGCCACTGCAAGGGGATTCCCAGCTAGAGGCAGCGGGAACCTGGAGGAACATTGAGCTGTTATGTAGATGTATTGATAAACATTGGCATTTTTCATAGCTCAGAGCATAGTTTTGTTTATACGTACTTCTCTTCGATTCTTTGGGCAAGCGATTTCTCTGTGGGAAATAAAATATTTTGAGTCTCTTCACACTCAAACGTTTGCATGTTTAATAATTTAAGTAAGAATACACAGAGCCTGAGCCGGGACGGGAGTGAACACCATCACAGCAGTGTTCCTTCTGCCAGGGCCTGTGCTAGGTGCTGGGCTCCAAGGAGACTCAAGAGACCGCAGGAACTTGCGGCCTGCTGAATGGGCAGCTGTGAACAGGATCACAGAACACAGGAGTTGTTACATGCGCAGAGGGCTCTAGGCATGTTACCACCCAAGTATTTGTGAGGACGCAGGTGCCACGTCAGCGGGATGTCAGAGAAGAATTGACCAGCCTGTGTGCCTGGGCCCTGGAAGAAGCCCTCTTTGCTCCAATTGAGTTACATTGAGCCTGTCAGGAAGCAGATGGACATGGCCTCGCACGGACTCGTTCTGCTTCAGGACCTGATCTCTTGAGACCGCCCCTCATGGGAGCCTCTGCCGTGGCCCAGGAACCGGGAGCTGGGGGAGCCAGGTCAGTGCAGTTCTCAGAAAGCTAACCCTCTGGGAGTGGTCTGCAGTTCACCGACATTGATGGGGAACCAGGAGAGCTCCTCAGCCACCAAGAAAAACACTGGCTGGGAAATACTTTAGTGCCTCGACTGGAAGGTTCCAGATCAGCAAGGAGGAGTTAAAGTCCTAGAAGGCCAGGGTGGTGCCCAGGAAGCCGCTCCCCACCAGGTGCTGTCCCATCAGGGAACCTTCGGCTGCTCTCAATGGCCCAGCGAGGTGGGTAGTCATCAGACTAGACTTAGAGGAGGGGACTCACCCAGACCCAGCCGACGTGAGACGATTCATGTTTATCTCTAAGGGACCAGGCTGTGTCGCAGGCACTGTTGGGAAATAAAGGGCTTAGAATCTGAAAACCAGGAAGAACCAAAGCCCAAGTGTAGCAGGTGGAGGAACCGAAAGCTAGCCTCAGGATCAGGGGGGAAAGACGAAGGGAACAAAACAGCTCTGGCAGTTGTAATGGGACTGTGGGTCCCCAGATCGCATACCTATCCCTCAAAGGCGGCTTCTAGCTGGCGGGCTTAGAACTGGATCACTCTGTTAGAAGGGACTGTGTGGGAGGGTGGAGAAAAGGGGAGCTGCGTTTTCTTTTTTACTTGCAGAGAGAGGCAATTGGAGACTGTCGATTGCATAGGAATTTGCAGCAAGAAGCAGGATGTGAAAGGGGCCCAAGGTCACTCGGGCAGATCTGCTGGCCAACTTCAGGCTTCTTCACTGTCCTAAATAAGCGGCGTCTGTTTGAGGATCCAGAACGTTTGACCTGAAAAATGCCAACCTCCATCTCTTTAAAAAAGATTTAATCTTAAAAACAGCCAGGAGTTAACAGGAAATGTACAAGGTCCAAAGAAATCTTGAAAATACTATGAAGGACAGAAAACTTGAACAAATGCAAAGATAGACCAAGTTCTTGAACAGGAGCAGTCAGTAACACAAAGTTGTCAGTCTTCCTGCATTAAATAGAAAATTGAATGCTGTCCCAGTAAGGACATACCCATGGGGTTAAAAAAACAAACTTTAACCTGAGTTCACATAGGAAAAATTATAGGTGGGAGCTACTGGGAGCAAAGCAGCTGGTGTTTAATCCCCAACAGATATTAAGACACAAAAAGCTATAATAATTAAAAGTGTCATTTTGGTGCATGAATGACTTGGTAGGTCAACAGACTAGAAATACATTCAAACTTAATGTAGTATGTAAATGTGGCATCCCGAACCAGTGAGAAAAAAATGGATTATTCAGAAAATAATGTTGGAACAACTGGGTAACCCCCCTCTGGAAAAAGTAAAGGCTCCATACTTCATACCAGTAAGTCACCATACGTTTTGGTAAAGACCTATATGTAAAAAAAAAACAAAACAAAAAACCCAGAAGAAACCATAGAAACAATTCTTGGTGGTGGGCGGCCTTCCCTAACTTGGATCCCAAATCCAGGAGTCATAAAAGATTGATAAATTCTATGTGAAACAAAAACACTTTTTGGAGCACTTCCTGTGTGGCAGGCTCTAAGGTTAAAAAACAGCCAATTAAAAATTCCATAGACTAAGAAAAAAGCTAATCCTTCAGTAAATAAAGAGCTCCTGGGAACTGACAGGAAAAAGACCAACAACCCAATGAAGAAATGAGCAGACAATAAATACAAATAATTCTCAACCGCATTCACGAGAAGAGAAATGCAGATTTTTAAAATGGCATTTTCCAATTGATCAGATCGGCAAAAGGCCAGTGTTGAACACACCATGCTGCCCAGGCCGTGGGAGGCAGGCATGCCGGAGGGAGTGTAAACTCCCACAGAGCAGGCCTCTGTGAAGAGCGATTTGGTGGCGAGGGCCAGAACTTTCAAATGCCCATGCCCTTGGACCTGGCAATTCCGTTCGCGCTGGGCCAGTCGTCACTCCCGGTGCCGGTTTCCTCGCGTGTAAAGGGATAATTCTACCTCCTGGGGCTGTCGTGAGAGTTAAGTTAGATGATACACATATAGCACGTAGTACAAAGAGCCTCCACACAGGAAGTGCTCCAAAACGTCAGTATAATGTAGTAACAGCAGCCAGCGCGCATGCGCTCCGGCCCAGGCCACTTTCCCACGCTGCGCTGGGTGCTTCTCCCCGTCTCATCCCATTGAGTCCTCCGGCCAACCCTGCGCTTCCCACCAGGTGGCCCCTGGGGGGACTGGGCCACAGAGGTGGGATGTGGGTTCACTGTCAAATAGGAAACATACAAGAAAACCTAAAGAAATAGAAAACACTGTCAATGCCACCTTCCAGGGACATCCCAACTGATACTTTTCCAGGCTTTCTTTTCCCCCCTCTCTATGCAAAAAAAAAAAAAAATCTGTCATCCTTAGAATGGCTGATCGGCGGGAGATGGGGAGAGGCCACCGTGGAAGTGTTCTTGATGTTCCCTCCTCTTCCTCTCCGTTTTGTTTTTCCCTAGGACCACACGAAAAGGCGAGGCTGAATTCCCCCCCCCAATGAAAAAAAAAAAAAAAATCTGTCATCCTTAGAATGGCTGATCGGCGGGAGATGGGGAGAGGCCACCGTGGAAGTGTTCTTGATGTTCCCTCCTCTTCCTCTCCGTTTTGTTTTTCCCCAAAACCCTCGCGGGCCTCGGGCCGGCCTCTAGGGGGCGCTGGCGCAAGGCCGCGCGGCACAGAAACGCGTTTGAACTTGGCCACCGCCGCTGCCCGTAGCCGGCGTCTCCAACATGGCGGCTGCCCAAGATGTCCACGTCCGGATCTGTAACCAAGAGATTGTCAAATTCGACCTGGAGGTGAAGGCGCTTATCCAGGTACTGGTGCCCGGGCCCCTGCTGGGCTCCGGCTGCCCTAAACCCGAGCGCCGCTGGTCTCCTGTGAGCCCGCGGGCTCCCTCCCGAGCTTCCCCCGCTCGGTCCAGTCTCCCTCTGGTCGCTGGCCCCGCTCTATGTCCAGCTCCCTCCTCTCCGGCCCCCTTTGGCCCCTTCCCCTTGACCCTTGGTCTTGAGCCTCCATCCGGGTGGCGTTGGCTCGCCCTTTCCCGGGACCCCCACGTCCCTCCCCCCTGCCCAG